CACGCTCTGCTGGTCGATGTGTGCACCTGATTGGCTAATTTGCCATATTCTTCTAACCTTCTTTCGCTCAAGCGGCTATCCGGTGCCACATAAGCCTGACTCATTTGCAGTTGCAATCCCTGATTGGCCCGCATGAATACGGCCGGCTCCTCAGCTTTGCTCAAGCTACCAACTATTACCACACCGATGCGGTTTAAAAGCATTTAAGGCATTACTAATTCTTCATATAATTTAAGCTATTTCTTTTTCATAATCTGGCCACTCAATCTAGTCAACCAGTTGGCCTGGGATTCAAAACGAGGCCCTCCTCGGTAAACGTTGACTAGGCATACGTAGTACGTGCCCAAACTAACGCGACTTATTCAGCACTATCTCTTATTCTAAGGAAGTATCTTGCTTATCACTGCCTGGCACTCGCCTACGCACATCATCCGTGCGGACGCGCTGGTGCCATCTGACACCAGAAATGCTTTGCAGATAACGATGATCAAAGACCTGAAGCCGCCACAGTTCCTCAGATCGAAGGTGTCAAGTCTCACTCATATAAAGTAGGATAGCTCTCACTGTGGTCGTCCACAACTTTCCGGTTCAGTTTCACAGCCAAGCGACACCCCATTTGGGTCCCGTGGCGCTATATGCGCCACATCCCTAACTGACACTACTTCTGCAAACTATATTTCCACCGTATACATCGCATGCCGGCACACCGACTCCCGCGATGTACATTGTTTGCGTACCGGGGGTGCGGTTGGCAGAGGAGGAGGGGAGGTCAAGCGATGAGTTGATGGAGAGCAATGAAAACCCCCTCACTTCGAAGTTGGCGTCGGTTGATGCATGCCGACTGCCTGGCTGGGGTCCTGAGGACGATGAACGCGTTTGGTTGGACACGCTGATATGGCGAACAGCCGACCCCAGTGGCGTTTGTGTTGTGAGTTCCTTCGTCCATCCTCCTCCTGCTTAGCCTCCCCTCGAACCACCATCTCATTCGTTAGGCATAATATAACTACTTTTTTGCGGCACAATAGCCGGCTGTTAGCTCCCTGGAACGATGTCCATCCGTTACTGGGGACTCAGGCGGCGTGCCTCACTTCTATTTTTCTTGTCTTTTGTGTTGCGGCACAATATGTGAGGTGTTTTCCATCCGTTGCTAATGCGCATAATGAGGATGATGATAATGACCGTAAACATCACCCTAAGCCCATCCTTTTCAGATGCCGTCTCACGGAGGCCCTCTACCTGGATTCCTCTACGCACACCAAAGGAAGACACGAGGCTGCTTCTACTCCGAATAAATTCGCGTTCACTGTTAAATAACACGCACTTTCTGGGTAACATTCTTCATCTTCCTGCTTTTGATATAGTACTAAAAACAGAACTATGGTGTGAAGAAGAGATGCGGGATCAAGTATTTGAAATATTGGGATATAACACGCTTCTGATAAAATGGTGACTGTCTAATCTACATCAAGGACACATACTTGGATGAGTCACTCCCTCGAAAAATTTCTGATTCCGTGTGGATTACTATTTCTATGCATCAATAAACCTTTTATTAGGCTGTATTTACGGACCCCAATCATATCCAGTCAGAGTAACAAATAACTTGATAGATATGTTTTCCTTTGTTGCTGACTCCCATTCAGTAGGGGACATATCCTTTGGTGGGGCAGCGTACGATTAACACCTAGCTAGCTAAATAAACAAACAAATAAACTTTTAATCTCGACGATGCGAGGCACCTCTATCGTCATGATCGTGTATTTGCATACTTTATAGAACCTTCATCACAGGTGGATCAGAAAAAGCACATATCAAATCAGATAATGACGATTGGGTTGACAAGGAAGAGATAATATTCGGTGTACTGAGTAGAAATTATGTTGACTGACATTGCACTGTTCCCTCACATATAAAGCAGCTGAACCACGGGATATAGTATGATGGTGAAACATGCGCACTAGGTCTTAAGAAACCTAGACCCTGTTCGTACACTTGGCTTGTTGTTATAGAACAATCAAACAGTTTGCTCACGTTCTCTGTTGACAAAAACTTGGTGACGCGTGTTCGAAATTCGTATTCACAAGTAAAGGCACGTATTCTGGGTGGTAGCTTGCTCCACCCTCTGACATACCTGTTGAGGAAAAAGTTCTCAAACCTGGTGGTCCTGGACTTGTGTTCCGCCACTGAGTTCTGTTTGTATCGTGTGTTTTAGCCTGCGGATTGCATTAATGTCATGTTGAGGTTGAAAACATGTGTATTTCCCTGCATGATATTTGGGAATTTGACTACATTGTGCCTCATGCGTCGTAGCCAGAGCGGCTCAAGCTTAAGCTTATCACATCGTGAAGAATACTCCAGTTTTGAAAAGGTACCAAGGTGGTGCTTTGTGAATGTTCTCTGTACTTGTTGCAGTGGAATGCGATCGCGCTTTTTTGAGCTACCTTACTCCATTGAACAATATTTCAACGTGGGTCCAACACTTGATTTGTAAGAATGAACTATTGATTCATGTAGGGGAAAGTCCTGTATACCATACCAATTTTCTGTCTTGCTATCGTGGTGGCATATCCGATTTGCTCATAGAAGTCAATTGGACATAAATACCGCAATCTCAGGTGTCTAACAGTAGGACATAAATTAGATGGTTTTCCATCAAGTGTCGAGTCACTATGAATCAAATCGCATTTGTGAGAGATTGCACAACAATTGTCAATAGAGAAAGACATTTTGCATGGAGGTCGCGTTGGATCAAGTTGACAGCATCATTTTAGTTTTCCGGGCTGAAAGTGTATACAAGTTTAATGTATTCTCGAATTTGCACTGCCTACGCTCGAGTTGTATGCTGTGCCCGCGAACCGAGAAAGTAGGGGTTCACCGATCTCGTATGACATCAATTTAGCTATCCGATTTGCATGAGGCACTTGATCAAAGGCCTTGTGCATGTCAAGGTGAATTATGGTGGCTGACATATCAAGATCATTCGAGGCAGGTGTGTTGTTTAGAAATTCCAGGTGGCACGTAATGCAAGACCGATTATTCAAGAAATCGTGTTGATAGTTGTATATTAGCTTTCTTGATAGTAGGAATTCGATCGTTTTGGCTTTTATATGTCGCCCCATGATTTTTGTTAGGATCCATTAGTGGGTTATTGGGCGATAATTTTCAAGCTCGAGAAGTGAGCCAGATTTATGTTGCGGCACAACTAAAACTTCTCTCCACTGAGCTGGTACGGTGCCTGTGTTCATGGATAAATTGAACATACTCAGCAATAGCAGGGGGATGTCACTCCAGCCCAATTTCATCACTACTAAGGGAATATTGTCTGGACCCCCAAAATATGATAATTTTATGCACCCGATAAGTTTTTGTATATCGTGAAGTTCAAATAGGATACGCTTGAGCTGGTCGATCATAACTAGTGGCAATACCATGCATAGGGGTTCGGTATCCACTTTGAAGGAGACGGAAAAATATCGGTTGAACATTGTAGTAGTTTGAGTAGGGTCTGTTATGTTGCAGCAATCTGGTGTTACGCGTAAGATTGGGCCTTGGCTACGCTTTGTTTTTCTGTGATTTAAAAGACTGATCAGTTCATGGTTTTTGAATCTATTCTCGATAGCCCGTTTTTCGTCAGCGATTTGTTTCGCGTGATGAGCCAGTTTCAATGCTGTAACCAAATTATGGTGTTGCATCAAGAATGAGAAGTTATTCCTTTTGTGGTACGCCGTAATTAGATTTTTGAGTTTTGCAGCTGCTTTTCGTGAAACAGACTTTTCGCGACCCGAGGGATAGTGTCTATGTTTGATAGAAACCAAAGCGTCGAGACAGAGATTGATGTTGTTATATAGAGCATCAGGTACAGCTTACAGGTCGTCGGTGAGGAAGAACAAGTCCCACTGAGCATGCCTGAGTAGATTAGTAAACGTGTCCCCACCAATTGATTTATAGTGCATTGTGAGCATTTGTGGTTTGGGTGCCTTCATTCTTGGGAGTCTGTCGTTATTGGTGTAGACAATAGTGACTACCCTGTGGTCACTACCAGGAAAGGGTTTCGAACATCAGCTGCTTCAGGTATTAGACCAACAGACTCAGTGTGGAGCGGACTACGGTCCAACCACCGCCTTGTGTGCGGTTGATTCCCAAATACAGCGTGATTGTGTTTGGCTGTGATGGAGTGTTGGCCGGCTCCGTTGATGAAACGTGGTTCCCATCCGCATGCCTCCCGGTCTTATTCCTTTGGGTTTACACTGGATATGGAGTGTGTGGTTGGAGCTGTGGGTGGTGCGGCGCAAGCCATCCATGGTCCCTCTGTAGACGCAGGCGTCCTGTAGCTTGCCACAGTGACAGGCAAATCCGAAACCGGATGCCGCCAACCATGTGTTGGGTAGAAAACACCCCGCTTGTCTGTCGTGGTTCTATGAAGCGAGTAGATACATGTAGCTAGTAATTTACAACCTCGGACACTTATTAGTACCTTTTCTCTACATGCAAGTGTCGGTACTTTGAAATTGCAGACCGCCCACATCCGTGATTGTTGGTTATTTCTTGTCGCTGCATCCGCCATTGTAACCGACGAACATGTGTTAGTTATCGTTCTGAAATTCCTTGAGGCATGCAGTGAATCTACCACTGTCTCACTGTCATATGGTCTACAACCCCGTGCCTCTCTCTTCTCCAATGATACGAACTGAGTTCAAAAGCGTAGGGTTGTTTGTTCATTTATCACCTTATTCCAACCGGGTTGAGGAAGTAACCTTTGACCTGGTCTGTTGCATCACTCACTTGCGGTTACCTCAAAACTTAAGGCACTCAGCAAATGACACCTTTATTCATTTCCTCACTCACATCGGCCTATTTTTTCGATGCAATTTCTCTCCCGGTTGTGAAACGTGGGATGAAGGTTTCACTCAACAAATATATTTGCCTGGGAATGGTGCGCATATTGATCTCACAAGTACCCTTTTCCCGACCTCCTCATATTCTTCTTTGTTCCCACTCAGGAGTGTGGTCAAAAGCCGGATGTATTCTACTGCCTTCGATTTCTGGAAGAACAGGGAGTGTGTGTAGTTCCAGGCTCCGGATTTGGTCAGGCCGATGGTACCTATCATTTTCGGTAAGTTTACTGCACTCTGTATCAGCACTAAAAGTAATGTGCACTGGTACTGTATTGGTACACACCAAAGTGGCCTTACTACTGCGGAATAATAAGAACACAGCTTAAAAGTACCTTGGGTCAAATGCCATGAATCAAGATGCTATCGCTTCGTCAACATCACAGTCACATGCAACGCGTTACCATGCAAAGTTTGCGCAACTTTTACTCCTCGCGTGTCATGTGAACGACAACTCAGCCCTAGACGCCAGGTAATTAGGCTGCCCAACTAGGAGACAGCATAAACACGTTTACTGGTGGCGGCGGCTTCGGGGGCACCACCTGCATTGTCCCCAGAGCACATTGCCTGTCAGATCTAGTGGACTACGGCGTAGAGTGTAAGTGTATACCAACGGCTCACAGTTTGGCTGACATTGCCTACGTTTCCCTAGTAGCCCCTCCAACCTCGCGTCATCCAGCATTTAGCAAACATAACAGGAGATCATCCAAGATAAGCCGTGGACTAGCGTACACATCATGTGCCAAGCCAGCGCAACTTATTTGGTTTTTATGTTGATCTCACAAAGTAAACTAGGTATCACCATCCAATAACTTGTTATAGACCTGGGCCGCTTTCAGTGTAACACCCTCTGTTAGATCCTCACACATCGTCTTATCGCAACTCCATCCTGCCTTATATATCAGGCTTATTGGTCGACCCAACAGGAGTGAAACACTGCTCGCATAATCGTTTGGTTAATAGAAGATACACCTTTCCCCTTTTTTAGGAAAATTGAAACACTGAGTCCCCTTCAACCACTTCATTAACGCAGTAAGAAGACAGAGGTTGCGACATGTTAACATTTAGATTACTCTCGTCAGTCGCTACGCAATACAAGCCGCAAAGACACGCAATATACAGGGTCCACACTTAGTAACATAGATAAGCAGATAAAAATGATGGGAATGACGCAATCAGGACCAAGGCAATTTAATTGATTATCACAGTTGTTTCTGGGCCCAGAGCACGGGACACATCAACCTTATCAGTAGCGCCTCGCCAATTGCCAACAACAAGGGGTTCTAGTTGCGCAATAGCACCTTGAAGGAATCGATTGGGTTCACCTGGTGACGAGTCAGCATGAGATGTTTGGAGACAGACGAGGCAGGGTTCCAATTCATTCTTTGTTTCGCTCCACCTTGGTTAGACAGTAACTGCCTTAGCCACAATGGGAAGTGTTCCGCCACCCTTTGAGCCAGCGTTTCTCCTTTTTTATTGCTGTTCAGTTTTACTTTGTCCTTGATACTTGGTTGTATTATATTTGCAGTTTTCGGGTGAAATAACGAAAATGCGCCCTTATGGGTGCATAAAACTTACTTTACCTTGACTCGTAACGAAAAGTTTGGCTCTTGTGAGCCGGGACCTGCGCGGAAGTTTGGCTGATCGCATTCGGATTGATAGATTCTGTGAGCCTTAGTCACGAAACGGTTTTTGTCTCACTATAAGGAGACGGACACGATCCCCGCAAGACTACCCGGGATCCCGAGTTAAAAGAAGACTGGGTAACTTAGTGGGAGCGCTTGTACGGCTTAGCAAATGGTGACTCAATTTGCGCAGCTTGGTGTTTATATCATATGGGTGTCGAAATTTGATGGTGGCATAGTTACCACCTGATATTTGAGCCGAGGTCAATTACTAATTGGTAGGAAGATTTCTGATTACATTTCACTTATTCATCGCTGCAGCTCAAAAAGCACAGTCTAACCACCAATCCGGAAAACCACCGCACCCTAGTTTCGCCCTATTGAGGCTCGTCAGAAGTCCGCATTCGCTCGGTTAATCGTCCGAGTAATGCGATTGCAACTCGATAGTGATATGACTGGTGAGACCACTCATTCGGTGACATGTTGGCAGTGTCTATTGAGTAGAACGGAGATACTTGCCATTTGATGGCGCTGTCACCAATAACGTATTACGTGAACGTTCCACGGGGACAGCACGACCATATTAGCAGTTTGGAACGGCATCCGGTGCGAAGTTATAGTGGAGTCACGAGGTCCCACGACATAACTGCTAAGTGCTTCACTCCGTGGGGCCTGCTAGTGCCGATTACCATAAGCAAATAAGTAGCCATCTGAGGACACTCGTGACCTTTAGACCAGAGCGACCAGCCTCCTTCCTGTAAACTAGGACCACCCTGATTATGGCCTGTACACCTACGCTCGGTGATGATCCCATTCTGGCAACGTCGGTGTCACAAGCTTACCAAGGCACCTCCGACTTTTACACTGCGCGAACTACTGCAGCATTTATAGCTCCGCCTACGCTACCGTAACAACAAATATTACTGAACTAAACTTTTATCTTCGGTTGCTCATCATCAAGGGGTCAAGTGCTACTCGGGGTCTAGTATTCACACCATGCCACCGTGCACTTTGAAGGTACAAACTGCATGTCAACGGATGAAGGACCACTTCCAGGTTGTTGAGCAAATCTTGACTGCAGTACCTCACGATTGTCGAACAGCTGGGCAATGTTGTGCGTGCAATGCAAACAAAACAATTTTCCTTGAGGTAACATGTTGGAATCTGCGATTGGGCGAATCAGATGACCCAGGTGCATGTCGTTTGTTGTCCCAATGGAGTCGGGCACTTCACCGCAGACCCTCCGGTGACCTGATATGCTTATTTTTTATTGAAACTGACTGGATTGGATTCCTGTCAGTCGCATGGAGTCACAGACAAACCTCCAGTTCAAATTTTCCTCATTTTCAGATGTAGGGAACCCAGATTGCTCTGGTACAACATAGCCATAGCTAGCAGTTGGTCAGCTTCACAGCGGTTGTCAGGTTAACCGTTTCTAATGTGTGGTTTCTCTTTTATTTTGCCATTCATCGTGATTGTTGTTTATGTGTTACTTTTGCTTTAGGCACAACTTTCAGTACACATCTTGCTCTGACAGATGGTGAACGTGATTCCCCACTTCCTGTGGACTTTGGGTAAATCATTGGACTCCTCACATTACCGAGTTCAAGGTGGTGAACGCTTGTACAACCGTCAGTCTTCCACGTAACATCCTGGTCAGCCCCCTCCTTTTTTATGGGTGATTCGAGGTATCTGGGTTCAGGTTTCTAGATTGCACCTTCTACTTCTCGGCTTCTAGCCTCCAGCACTCTTGCATGGATTTGAACATTCTGTAGTTTCGTAACCTGCGCATAGCCACTTGCACTTGCGTGGTAGCGAAGTGTCGGTGCTTTGTACTAGTGTATTGCTGATGGCCTTTTCCTTCCTATTTCCGCTAATCTGCACTTTCGTTTGCATAGTGGGGTATGACATAAAACTCGGGTTGGCTCCGTAGGCCGCATTTTCCTGGATGGGTTCCTAACCACGAAACGGGCTACCTCATTACCATACACCGAGGTTGCTTCTTGTCCCCCCCTCACTCATAACTTTGTCTCTCTTTCCCCACAGAATGACCATCCTACCTTTTGTGGAACAAATGAAGGTGGTCTTGGACAGATTGATGCATTTCCACACAAAATTTCTCGCCAACTACACCGATTAACAGTGCACGTAGCCACGCTGCCTGTAACAGCTGTCTGTCATGCTTATGGCTTCCTCCTTTCATCCTGCTTGGAGGAACAAGACCGTCTCTCGTGTGTTCTCCAGTCACACACTCACTCCGCGTTCCACAATCTCAGATCCATATTTTCTTATTTTGATTATCAGACCTTTAGTGCAAGTTCCATGTGACTTTCGTAGTGCCAACTGCTTTATAGAATTTACTATCTCTTTGTTCGTTGTTGGTTTCCTAGATTCCCTACCTTGTGCCGTTTCCTTATTTTGCTATTTTTCCTATTTCACTTTTTGTGGCTAAGAGCGCCCTTTTCAATTTTAATCGAGCTGTATGTTACACCCAGATGGTGAACGAACACTGGCTGAGGACGCATCACTGTACCGTTTCAACCATATACACTACTCGTTTGGCGTGTAAAAATACGTTACTTTCTTGCAGATACTGTCGAAGCGACTGCTTATTGACTGACTCGTCCTTTAACACCAACCTTGTTCTCTTCCCGGGGAGTGGGGGAGCTGAGTCGGGTTGGTAACTTTCTGCCTTTATGACAGGCATGAGACACCGTCACTGTAGCAGGCATTTTTGATTTATTGCTTCCATATGCTTCCGATTAAAGTACACTTTTACAACGTTCCCGCTGGTCTTCACCTCATCGATTGTTGACTGATTGATCCCGATACAATGAGAAAGCGATCGAAGCAGCATCACTGTTCCCCTGAGATTTGACTCGAAACGTCGAGAAGACAGTCCAATCACTAATACACTTCATTAGAAGAGAAATGTACATATTTCTACAGTAACTGGCTTCAGGCTATTCGTGTGGGGAGGTCACAATGACTGTGCTAACTTTAGCAATTTATGGACCTCGGAAAATAACGTTTGGTTGATCGTGGACCTCATTTTTGAAACTGTAAGTAGGCCAAATCCCAAAGGTATGTAGTGCTCATAAACGATACTTGTTACCAATGAAATGGTCGGACGGCTTAATCGCATCTCGAAAGATTCTACAAAAGCACTCTTTTCTTCCACCCACCTATTTCCGGTTTCAAGAGGGCATTTCAGTTGTGCAATAGTCTCCGTTTTGGCTACATGTATAGGACCATCGTATAATGCACTGCCGAAACTCCATCAGAACGAATGCTTAGAAGAGTGTTTTGCACTCATTTAAATACGGCTTAAATGCAAAGGACTGGTTGATAATCTAGCCAAATACAGACGGTCTGGGAAATCCTGTCTTGGTTCCTGTGGAGATATCTAGGTCCACTACGCAGCTTGAAAAGTGTGAACGTCGAATCCATTAGAAACTATATCTATTCTAGGAACCTGCAAATCAACGGATCAAGTTAGGTTTAATGCGAAAGGTCTGCACACCGCACCTGCAGGTACACCTCCACGGGTGACTGTATAGGACTAGTTACCAACAGTCTGAATGGATGTGCTGACATCACAGAGCAAATGAAGTCGAACACAACGGACTATAATCGATGAGCGGATAAAGCGAGAGAGGAACAAGCGTGAACACAGTAACCTACAGAACAAACGAATGTCGAGCCGGCTGTAGGCCATAATGGCCGCTGTGTAAGGTAGAATTGAAAAAGAGAAAATATTGCAAGATGGATCATCACTAAAATTGTACACATACGATCAGAGTAGTCTTTTGGGGCGTTACAGTGCTCCTCTTTGACAGCTGAACAAGTGAAGCCTTTAACAATCAAAATGCTTGGTCAGTACAAGTTTGTAAGGCATAATCACGCTGAGTAACGATGCGTGCTGTTGTTTGTGTCGAAGGATGATTCGTTGGAATACATAATCCGCTGTGCCGTCTGTTATGTTGTACTTATTGATTGCAGGACGGCGTGCATCACGGCGGGCTTGTCGGACTTCAGAAAGATAGCTGGCTAGTCTGGAATAAAGGCCGGCAGGGGCGCAACTGCAGCTGCTGCCCAACAGTGTACTTGGAGGGGCCTATCTCTCCGCGCCAAAGAGACCTAGTCCCACGAAGAAACGTTCGGTTTTTGGGTTAGAATCACCGTTGGCTTCGACGATCCTTGAACGCGTCGATTGGAGGGAAGGGTTGGTTCATGTTAGGGCAAAAAAAAGAAAATCGCGAACAAAACACGCTAAAATAAATGAAAGAAAGGCTAGCATGTGTAGAAAAGTTTACATTTTTGTTTCCGGATTATTCTAACTTTTATCGCGACTAAACCAGGGTAATTGTATACAATATTTTCAAACGAACAGTATTTACACTCTGCACCACCGGAAAAACGAGCGGGCTTGCTAACTTCGACCATGGATATAAGTCCTAGGCGATGACAGGTTAGGTTCGCAATGTCCGGACGATGACGCCTGTGGATCAGGGTCGGCAACAGACTTAAAGATGCTCGGTTGCCGAAGAATGGTGTGACGTTGCAGGAAGCATTTCTAGACGATGGAGGCAAGGTGGTAGCTGTTCAGAGCCTACCAGCTATTGCCCAGTGATTCTCCTCCTGGTGCATACAAAGATGATGGAATCGATTATAGCTGAGGCTGTAATGGGCTACTTGGAAAGGTCTAATATCATAGCACCGGAGTAACGCGGATTCCGTCAGCATCGGTCATATATTACGAATCTGCTTATTGCCCGTGGAAGTCGGACCGAGATTACCGACAGTGGACCCGGCATTAATGTCAACGACCTAGACTTTTCTAAAGCCTTCGACCGCATCTTCCTCCGAAAGCTCTAAGCTTATGGAGTTAGGAACCCTATTCTTGGATGGATCGGAAACTTTCAGCGGAACCTTCAGATTCGAGTACGCGGTTCCTTTTCTTATCCAATTGATGCGGACTGTAGTGTTCCACAAGGGTTGGCGTTTGGGCCGTCGCTATTCTTGTTCTTCATTGACGACCTTGCGAGTGTCAAGTCAAATTTCCTGATTTTTGCCGATGACATCATGAGAATGTGGACAAGCAACTTTCAGGAAGATCACGATACGTTGCAACAAAACTTAGGCTGCTCTTTTGAATGGTCAAAGTTAAATCTACTTCCGTTTAACAGGGACAAGTGCAAAAACATGCTTGCTCGCCACAAGCCCACGTATGCATATAAGCTTGTAGACGATAGGCTAAACACCGCCTCAAGAACGAGACCTTGGGGTGGTGATCCAAGACGACCTCGGCTGTTCGGCGCAGTCCTTGAAAGCGTCCAAAACTGCGAACCAACATGTTAATCGGTTACGGGGGGCATTCGGGAGGTTCGATCCCTCCATCTTCCCCCAAATGCTTAATGCATATGTGAGGCCCCGTGTAGAGTACACGGTCCAGACTTGGCAACCCTGGTTGAAATGCTAATTGGATACTTTGGCTGCCTCCCAGCGAAGGGCAACGAAAAATGTGAAGCGGTTTTCCCACCTTCAATATCATAGGCGACTAGGAGTGTACAGCGGAAGATACCGCCGTCTACAGGGTGACCTCATCCTGGCGTTCCAGATCTTGGAGAACCCCAGTCACTCCTGTCGCTACCTCCTGAACTTAGTCACAACGCGGAATTGAGGGGTAATAAGTTGAAACTTGCCACAGGATACAGTCGGATGGAATGCCACTGGAATTAATTTTGCCTTCGAGTTAGTCAACCGCGAAACGCTCTTTTGACTTTCATGATTTCCGCGCTCACGCTAACCATTTTTGGAAAAGTACTCAACGATGATTTACACCACCTGCGTTACTTGAACTGATTTCTATTCATTGGGTTATGACATGGTGCCGGGAAACATTGTGCGCACCAACCCCAGGACATCGGGGTAGACGGATCTACCTTTGTATTATTGTGGATCATGTGGTGAGTCCACAGATGCTTTTTTCCACTTTTGTGCACATATTTGAATTAACGTTATTCCCATAAACCAGCCTAGGGGACATGCCAAGCCTCGGCATTTTGATCCGTATTACACCGTTGTTCCATTGGCTTTTTCCGTGATGACTAGCTTTGAGCGGTTGATGGTGACAACTTTGTGTCCGCCGCCGCAGTCGATCGTAAATGTCCCGCGTAGTAGACTTAAATCCGGATCATTGAATTGCACAGCGGCCGTGGTTGCCAGATAGTTAACAGTAGTTGTGTCAGCGAAGATCGATTGGTCTCGAGGAAGTGCGTCGGCGACAGCGTTGTGTATACTTGAGACGTCGTATATCGGTAATAAACTGAGCGATGTAGTCTAAGTGGCGCTACTCTCTAGGAGAGAATCGGTCGGTTGTCGAGCCCAGCACGTACGTCACAGGTTTGTGGTCAGTGATGACTGCAATGGTACGACCTTCTAAGACATAGGAAATAACGCACGCTTAAGTAGACGGCTAGTAGTTCTTAACCGAAAATGTAACGAGCATCGGCAGGTTCAATGGACATGGATTTATTACGGGATAAAAGCAATTGGTTGCTGCGTCTCGTAGAATGGTTGGGATGAATACTATGAAGTCAAAAGGTATGTGAGTCATCTACCGTACGTCTACCGAGTTGAATGCGCTGACATATAAAGTAAGCGTAATATAAAAATGGATTGTATGCATGCAGAAGCATATTGGGTACACTGACCGTTAAGGTAAAGCGTGATAAAAGTAAAATATTTTAGCTCAACTTTAGGTGAGTGGGCCCATTTGACATAAATCCGGCAGAACGGTATGATTAATGTAATCAGCAATAGCGTAATTTAGGTAACGAGGTGCTGAGAGCTAAGAGCAACATACAATCGTTTTTGCGAAATTGTCCAGACTAAGAGAGGATCTCCAGACTGTACCCACATACGCCGCGGATTTTTGCTTTAATTTGCTGGAGTGCATTTTTGCTTTGGGAATACTGTGTTATGCGTGTTTTCTCTGTGTGGATTATGCACGAATAATTTGTTTTTCATGTATTTTTCCATATTTGCGAAATTGGCGCAGATTCGCCAGCTACTATCGGAGATCTCACTGATTGGCTCAACCGCCGTCTGTGTCCGCCAGCTTTGATATATTCTACA